GACACTCGGGGCCCCTCTTATTTATTCGCGTCCGCGTCTCTGCCTGTCAATAAAGCGCCTGGAGGGGACGGTGACGGTGACGCGGGGACACTGGGGCGGGGGTGTCACCCCGCGGGGACACCGGGGCAGTGACGCGGGGACACCGGGGCGGGGGTGTCACCCCGTGGGGACACCGGGGCAGTGACGCGGGGACACCGGGGCGGGGGTGTCACCCCGTGGGGACACCGGGGCGGTGACGCGGGGACACTGGGGCGGGGGTGTCACCCCGTGGGGACACCGGGACGGTGACGGTGACGCGGGGACACCGGGACGGGGGTGTCACCCCGCGGGGACACCGGGACGGTGACGGTGACGCAGGGACACCGGGGCGGGGGTGTCACCCCGTGGGGACACCGGGACGGTGACGCGGGGACACCGGGACGGGGGTGTCACCCCGCGGGGACACCGGGACGGTGACGGTGATGCGGGGACACCGGGGCGGGGGTGTCACCCCGCGGGGACACCAGGGCGGGGGTGTCACCCCGTGGGGACACCGGGGCGGTGACGCGGGGACACCGGGGCGGGGGTGTCACCCCGCGGGGACACCGGGACGGTGACGCGGGGACACCGGGGCGGGGGTGTCACCCCGTGGGGACACTGGGGCGGTGGCAGGACCCCCGCTCCCCACAACGACCCCCCCAAAAGCAGCAGCTGCCACTGAGGGACATGGGGACGAGGCCACTTTATTGTCACAGAGGGGGACCCGCCGGGACGGGGGTGTCACCCTGTGGGGACAGCGGGGACAGGGGACACCGGGGCGGGGGTGTCACCCCGTGGGGACACCGGGACAGGGGACACCGGGGCGGGGGTGTCACCCCGTGGGGACACCGGGACAGGACGTCCTGGGGATGGTGGGGGGGTCAGGCGGGTCCCCGTGGGTCAGGCGGGTGCCCAGGGGTCATGCGGGTCCCCGTGGGTCAGGCGGGTGCGCCGGGGGTCCCGTGGGTGCCCCAGGGCTCAGGCGGGGCCCGGCTCCGGGGGCCGGTGGTGCCTCTTGACCACGAAGAGCTTCTGGCCGGAGACGGTGACGAGCAGCGAGTGCTCCCCGAACACCACTGCGGAGAGCGGCGCTGCGGGGCGGCACGGGGACCCCCGGGGGGGACGGGGACACCCCGGGGGAGAGGGACACCCCGGGGGACACGGGGACACCCCCCAGGGGGAGAGGGGAAACCCTGGGGGACATGGGGACACCCCTGGGGGGGACGGGGACACCCCCAAGGGGACACGGGGACAACGGGGCCACCCTGGGACACAGCAAAGTGCCCGTGTCGCTGCAGAGAGGACCTGGAGGGGCGACGGGGGCGCAGGGACACCGGGGACACCCAGGGGACACCCAAGGACACCCGTGGGTGACATGTGGGGACACCAGGGGTGACACATGGGGACACCCATGGGTGACATGGGGGGGGAAGGGGGTGCCCCTCACCCGAGAGGCGCTTGAAGGGCGGCTCAGGGGGGCATGGGGGTGACACCCATGGGTGACACAGGGTGACACGGAGGTGACACCCATGGGTGCCACGGGGGGACACCCACCCGAGAGGCGCCGGAAGGGCGG